ATAAACAAAATGAATTCGTACGTCCCCTATTTTTTTTCAACAAAAAAATTCTGGAAAATATTGTTAAGCCGCTGATAGCACACTTTTACCACATTAATTTATCACACCAAACACACAAAGTTGAGTTTATTGAAAGACGAAAATGGCAGAAATTCCAAAGCAGAAATATGAATAAATTAATAAAGAAGAAATATTTAATTCCTTGCAATGAAAAAGTTGATACTAAAACTATATTAAGACTGAAACCAAAAAATGGCTGTGATAACTTGGACTTTAGACCCATAGTTTGCTATAGGGAAACTTTATTTGAAAAAAAGGAATATTATAGAAACATATCTAGAAAAATTAGGGAAGTATCTGAAAGGTATTATAAGCACAAGGAACTCTTCAAATCCTGGACTGAATTTATTCAAAGAAATAAAGGCAAAATTCTTTATGGCACCAAATTAGACATCAAAGACGCGTATGGTTCTGTAGACATCATTATATTAAAAGAAATAATTAAATCGTCTAATTTATCAAACGGTGTTAAACAATTTATTGTATGGGAGTTAAACCACCAGTACATCAAAATACAAACGAAAAAAACCTGCAAGATTTACATGTTGAATCGCGGACTACCTCAGGGTTATCGTCTTTCACCCTCACTATGTGAACTGTACATAACTTTCATCGAAAGTATGAATTTCGATAAATTTATTAACGAAAATTGTTTTTTACATCGCACTGTCGATGATTATATTTTTGTTTCCACAGATTCGTGTTTAGTTCACACTTTTAAGGAAGTCTTAAGCTCGATGTTTAGATTAAATGAGTCTAAAACTATTTCTAAAACAACTCAGAAACTACATTGTGAAACCGAGCTGAAGTATTATGGACGTGTTTTTAGCTTAGAAACGGGAGAGGTAAAAAAATTATTCGATTTTCCTAAAAGATATGAAATAAGACATCGTTTTAAAATTTGGAATATGTTATATCCCATTCCAGAGCAAAATTCAATTAACATCCTAAAACGCTCCTTAGAAGTAAAATTTAACTTTCACAATTTTACTAAATTAGAACTAAACACCATAGTAAACACTTCTGAAATGGTTCTACATAACGTTTTTAAAGGTTTTATATTTTTAGCCTATAAGTTTGACTGTATTGTAATGTCCATAAAAAACTATCAAACCACAACAAATTTTTTCTATCCCCACTTAAAACAAACAATCAAAAACTACTGCGTATACATTTTTAACGTTATCAAAAAATACAAAGGCGAATATTTTAGCCACATAAATTTTTCTTTGTTCATCTCCATTGCCTGTAAAGCTTTTATTTTGGTTTTTAAAAGAAGATTTGCATTTTACAAAGATGCCATAAACTTTTTAAATACGCCTTTTTCCGTTCATAAAAATGTTGATAATAAAATTTATCTTAAAGATTTGAATGTAAGGTTTAAAGATTTTTTAAAAATGCCTGATTGTTTTAAGAGTATAAGTATGAATAGAGCTGCAAAAATCTAATTATAATATATAATACACCTAATTTTTATTACAAAAATAATAATTGTTTAATGATTTTTTAATTGTCTTTTTTTATAAATAAATGAAATAATATAGACATTTCATATTTTTAAATATTTGTTTTATTTTTTGAAAACAGATTTATATCAAGTATTTGTACTATAGTCTATAATATACAATAACATATACAGTGTGACCCATTTGTTAGCGACTCACCCCTGTAAAATCTTTATTTATTGTGCAATTTTAACCGGATTTGTTTTAAAGTGTAGATCTTGATAAACTGTATTTTTGGAGCAAAAGACGCCATATTAGTACAAAATACAAGTCCTACTATGTCAGTTTAACAGTAAATTTTTAAGAATTCATTTTAGCGATTTTTTTAAACAAAATCTAAGCACGGCGCTAGATTCACCACCCCTCAAAACTACCATGTAGAAAATTTTATTGAAAAATTTTAAGAAAAAAATGCACAAAAATAACTACAAAAATTTATTTTGTCAAGTTATTTATGAAAAAAACATTGAAATAAAATTAAACTAATATTAACATGGTACTATTACTATAAGTTTAATTTTATTTCAATGTTTTTTCAAGGATAACTTGACAAAATAATTTTTTGTAGTTATTATCGTGCATTTTTTTTCTTAAAATTTTTTAATAAAATTTTGTATAGGATCGTTTTGAGGGGTGGAGAATCCAGTGCCGTGCTTAGATTTTATTTAAAAAAATCGCTAATATGAATTATTAAAAATTTACTCTTAAAAACTGACATAGTAGGCCTCGTATTTTGTACTAATATGGCGTATTTTGCTCCAAAATACAGTTTATCAAGATCTACACTTTAAAACAAATCCGGTTAAAATCGCACAATAAATAAAGATTTTACAGGGGTGAGTCGCTAACAAATGGGTCACACTGTATATAGAGTATATAATGTAACAGTTACACTTCGCTTCTGAAGAAAATTACTTTAAGCTGTGTTTTGTTTTGGAGTTGGGGAATATTTCTAATATTTGTTTAATATACGCTAAAGAAGTATCGGGTTTTCGCAACGCGCGCGCCATCTGGTGGGCTTCGATAGCATTGCGTAAATTTAAGAATTGTCAACAATACATTTAAAGCACAGATTATACATCATTTTAAATAAATAGGTAGTTTTTTCACAAAAGAGGGGAATGCAGAAGTCTTACTCGACAAATTTTGTTCAATTGCACAGCTAAATCGCGCACGTTATTTGTGTTTTACGTTGCAAGGAAAAAATTAAAAAACTTTTTTAGTAAGTACTCGATTTCGATTGATTATTCCTTATATCATTGATTAAGAAACTCAACGCTTAAATGCTTATATAGTTATGTTAGTATGTGTATTTATCTAAGGGATCATGGTGAATTATTGTGTTTTTAATTGTAAATAAAATTCAAGAACTAAATCGTTGCATTTTTATGTTTTGCCAAAAGATCCAATTCGGTAAGTACATTTGTTGGTGCGGAATTAACTAATGATAAATTTACCTAATATAATTTATATTTAAGTTTGGAATTTTTTAAGAAATTAGTAAAAAATAATTTTTGCACAAACATAACCTTACTATCAACCATTTTTATATTTGAATTCTCTAAAAAACGCCGACAACTGCATTTTAAACAACAAAATATACCTACGAATTCATGGCAACATAATATTATATATAATACATAATATAGGTAATGGTATTTTACCGTTGAGTGGAGACTTTCCTAATCAACGCTTTTAATAATGCTAAATGCTGTTTAAATTTAGACGACTTATTTGTTTGACGATTTTTACTCAATTGAAATGTTTACACTTTTCACGTTAATAAGTACTAAAATGTGTATTTATTGTATCTAATATAATATAATAATATAATAATTGTACCTATAGGTACAATTTATATTTACAGATACTGTATGCAATTTATTTCTTTATTCAGATTAACACTTTTTATTGGAAAACCGGTAAAAACTCAACCCAGGATTTCCTCTCGAAATACACCCAACAACACAACAAATTGATCCACGTTTTTTTTTATAGTTTTTAACATTTTCTGGCTTTATTCTCAAAAACACTCGTTTGTAACCTAAGCGTTTGACAGCTGATTATTAATAGTTTTACTTTTGTTACGATGATAACAGCCGAGTGGTGTCGCTACTAGCGATACTTCTTTAGCGTATAATGATCTGTTGAATTAATCTTAATTAATCATTTCTTCAATTATTTAAACGATAAAGCAGATTTATTTTATATCCTTGGATTCAATTAACAGTTTTATAAATTAGCTGTTTGAGTTAAACAATTGTTTTAGGCCTTGGTTTTTTTTGACTTTGTGTGCCATAAATAGTTATTCGATTACGTATTTAATCTGATACTTGACACTTTAGCTTATTAGACTTTAGCCTGTAATTAGATAAAAACCGTAATGTATGCTGACTTTTACTCAATTAGTGATATATATTTAAGTAATGGATTTTTAGGAGTGTTGTGTTGGAGTGGATTGGTTTTAGAATATCTATGTATATATACACGGGGATAAGTCAGTCACGTTCGAACTCTTAAGGAGGTAAGGTATAGTAACCGAGACCTTAAAACCAAAATTTTACATCACACAATAAAAAACTCATGCAGTGCAAATTAACTATAAATTATAGTTAATTTGCACTATAGTCTATAATGCATTGCATCTACAGTGAATTAAAGACTACCTTATGGTCACGGAAGTAATAAAGTGTGAAGTGATAAGTGACAGCATAACTGGCGGACTAAGACAAAGATCACGAACGAAAAGAAATTTTGCATTTAATTTTTTATTACCGAAAACCCTTTACTGTCATATATATATATATATATATATATAGGACCACTTGACTTCTGGTCTAAAAACGTCCCCACTTGGCGTCCTGCTTGTAGCCTACGGACAGTCTAATAGTAGGTTTTTGAAATTTAATCGTGTTTAAAAGTTATTGAGTTAAAACGTTTGGCGAGGTGAATGGGGGAGGCTAGTGGTACAACTTCTTAAGAAAGGCTGTAAGGGGTCGAGAAGGCCTATATTTTTAGATACTTAAACTGAAAAACAATTCCTGTCTTCTACCTAAAAGTAAAGGTTACAGGCCGCCACTGTAATGCGATATCTTTATAATAATAAACAACTTTTTGTTACAAATCAAATGGTATTTTTATTTTGATATTTACACGAATTTGACCCGTGCATTAGAGAGGGACAAAATCGGCCGATATCGGGCGTTACGAATTTCGGCCCGATATCCTTTGCCAAAATCGGCCGAATTGCGGCCGAACTGATTTTTTTGACCGGGTAGGCTTTTATGTCTCCATGGACTGCACGCCATTGGTAGACAGCACAAATAAATTGTAGAAAAAACAATAATAAAGTTGCTGCTAAGTGCCCTGATAAATTATTATTTTATTATAAAAAACGATAAACAAATGGTCTCACATATTTTATTAAGTACCTACTTTCATATATAATAAGAACCTTTAACATCTGCAACTACTTAAGTAATGTTCCTTTTAATACATATTATTTCCACAACACAGCGTTGTAGGGAACAAAACCTTCCTCTTCACCGCCCTTAACTCCAACCACTGCTCCTGATTCGGAACGTACATCTCAGCAGGCATCAATTCCGCCCCTACCTCACTCTCATTTTCCTCGCCTTTCGGCGGTTTTTTATTCTTATCCGCCATCTTCAAATGATCACCGGGACATCGTAACAGCAACTTACCAACACCTTCGCATCGTCTTAAAATTTCGTTCTTAACCAACTTTTTCCTCACCGATTGTGTTACTATGGTGGAGTTTATTAACCACGTGGCAACATGGGCAAAATCGCACAACAATTGACAGGCACCGTAATGCGAGAACTTGATTTTGTTAATGTAGATGTGGTCCAGCCATGATTCGCATATTAGTTTTAGTATCATGTCGTTTATGGCGTAGTCATCTGTAGCGGCTATAACGGGCGTTAGAATGCGTTCTAAAATAATATGGTTTTATTAGGAGTGCAGAAAGTAACGTACGGCATTTTTCATCAACCTCTCTGAAAACACCACAAACCCAGACAGCAATATGACGTCTTAATTAAGTCTGCATAAGCTCTATTTTATGATTTGGACGTCAAATACAACATCAAAAAGAAGTTTTTAAGAAGTTCTTAAGACTTCGAATGCGCCACCTATTGAACTAATCAAGACTTCTCAAAAAAGAACTCTTGAGGAACCCTTTTCTTTGACTTCGCAATTAAGCATTTTAAAGAGTCCTACCACTACACCACCGGCCTCGGTGGTGTAGTGGTCAGAGCTCCTGGGTACGAGCCGAGAGGTCGTGGGTTCGAATCCCACTTGGGTATGGTTGTTTATTTGTGTTTGTCCATTGTGTATAGTTCTTCGGAGGGGACTTAAAGCCGTCGGTCCGTTCCTACCCCTAACCCGCACAAGCCATTCAGTTGGCTTATGGGACATCTTAGTTTGGATGTAAGGGTGGAACTAAAAGAGCACTTTATAACTTTATAAAAAACTTTATAACTTTATACAGTTTATATATAAACTTATAAAAATACTTCTTTAGAATTTTCCGTTTTGGATATAGAAGTACTACTAGGGTACTGATGAAGAAATTGCATACTGGATCGTTGCTTATTTTGACATGTCAAGTTTATTTTATTAATTTGTTAAATTGATTTTATTAAAATCATTTTAATAATTTGCTCGTATTCGCTTATTTTAGGAATTGCGATTACTTCGTCTCACTTTTGTTTAAATTCAAGCGTGCTCTTCACCGGCACCGATAGACGGCCTTTTTCGCTCTTTTGGAGCTCGTCAGTATCGGGTAGCCGTTTACCTAGGTCTAAGACCGTTTGGTATGGAGCACGCTCTAAATTCTACTTCGCCGCTTCTTATATCAAACACAAGCAGTTACAGCGGTGCACCTCATGAGGAGAAAGTAATTGCATTAAAATGTCATAAATGTGACGTCTAGACGTCTGGAGCTCCATGTTGACTTCTAAAAGAGTTAATAGTATGATTTCAATTGGAAGTAAGAAAAAATAATACTCTGTAAGCTCAAAATAAATTGTTCAAAAAGAGGTCAAGAAAAGATCTTCATTTGTACGTAAAAAAATTGACTTCTTATTTATGAGTTCATTAACAGCTCAGAATTCTGAGCTCATAAAAAGGAGCTGTTTAAGACGTCATGTTAGAACTTCTACACGAAGTTGTTTAAAAGACTTCATACTGAAATCTTTCTGAATTGGATGCTGACTGGGAACATATTCAAAAGTAGAAGGTGTGTTTAGAAAGTAATGGGAATATATATCATATTTATTTCATTGCATTGAAAGATTCGCAAATTTTTGTGGTGTAAATGTCTTATGGGTACATATGTGTACAAATGTCCTAAAGGTACATATGTGCAAATTGGTAGCCATATCGTATGTTTACGTACACCTAATTATGCTCCAGCCCTAATATTCTGTAAATCCTGCAAAGACGAAATTAATTCTCTTTACCTGAAACAAAAACTTACAAACCAAGTCGAATATTTTCTGAATTTTTTGCTTTAGATGATTATTCCAGATAATTATATTTGCTTTCCAAGTATATACTTAAATAATTCTACACAGCAAACTGGTGTAGTTATATAAGAGTTCAGAAGGCATTAGTGGCCTTCTGGCGGTGTAGAAGGACTTTTGGAAAGATGTGCACCATGGGGACTATCCCCAAGGATAGTTTTTTAGTTATCGGATCTGTAGTTTGGTGGCCCAAAATCAACCAGACTAATGCAGCAAAAGAAATAGAGCATGTGCAACGGCTTGCATGTCCAGCACAACTCCAACAGCAGCCCTGGAAGCGATCTTGAACATTCCCTGTTTGAATTTAATCGTTGAGGAGAATGCACAGAGGCTTACGACCACTAAAATGTAGAAAGGAAATAACTCTAGCAAACGTCACACCTGCATACTAGAGCCAATTTGGTGTTCTTTGTGACACTTCTTCTAAATGCAGTGCCTGATCAGATTGTACTGACTTAAAATGTAACCACAACAAAGAGCTTTCTGCCACAGGCACAGCAAGCGTCTGATCTGATGCTTATACACGACTAAACTTGCTCTCGACAATTCACGATTATGCTCCCCATTCAACACCAAATCACTGCCTACGTTTGAATGTGCGAAGATGGCGGATGCCCTGCTTAAAATACCCCATAGGGACCCATCGGGCGCTAACGGACTTAATATGTGCATTTGTCCAAGCTTTTTCCGGATACAGCCCGATAGAAAATGTATAGAAAATTACTTATAGGTACACCATAACTTCTACATTTCCCCTATTAAGACCGATAGCAAATAGCTCAAGGAAGGATATATAGGGATATCCCTATAGAGCAACCATAAAACATTTTACAACATTTTGTCTATGGGGTCCGTATACGGGAGAAAAACGAATTTCTATATTTATGTGTATTTTCCCTATTGAGACCGATAGCAAATAAATTAAGGAAGGATATCCCTAGAGAACTACCATAAATCCCAACTATGGGTCCTATTCATACCGATACACCGATACAAAAATCTATCGATTTGAACAGGGTCTCTATATATGTGACATTTTAAGCAGGGTGGAGAGTTGAACAATATGTTTGTTTCGCCTGATGATACACTTTTCATTTAATAATCAGTACATGCCCATGAGTTCGATTCACTTAATCGTTTGAAGCCGAAATTATACAATAATAATTATTGTTGAAGTAGAACATCAAATTGCTGACCGCAATGTTAGCCATATTTTCAGTAAATCATATTGATACACATGAATGATTGCTCAATTGCTGTTGCGTCCACAACATTATAATATGATAATCATGAATGGATGCTTTAAGTTAATTTTCAGGTGTACATTATACAATTATTGATATTTACAAATCGGTTTCAGGTTTTTAAAGGTTTGGTAATGATGCGCAACTTAAGATAATTAAGGTCATAATTATGACCGGTTAATATTTAGGGCATCAGGTGAGACTAAAATTGAGTCAATCATGTTCTATTTGGGCAAATACCTTGCCTAATTTTTCTATATTTACCGACTCCGGCTATGGAGCGGGAGTGTAGTGTCAGAACCCATCCATGCGTCTCATATATATATATATCAGTGTGAAATCACATGTAAATGGAAAAACAATAAGAATTTCCGGACACAGCATGCAGGCCTTTCTTGCTGACCTTGAGCCACAATATAGTTGACTTAAAACTGATACAAATAAACAATGTCCTAGAACTAGAAGGGTAATGAAGGAAATAAAAAGGCAAACCTGCCAATGGGTCCTCACCCTGTCCTGGGATAGGCAGCTGCCCACAACAAAATCAACCATAAAAGCCCGGATAAAAAACAACCAAGAACCTAAACAGTGTTTAGTAAACACTAATCCGTCTGACAAGCTGAACAAATACAGTCTACAGTTATCTCGTCAAAACCTTTCTGACCTTGTCGGAATCATAACAATTGTTGTCTTAAGACACTGCAGACTAAACAAACATCTATACACAATAAAAAATGTAAAGAGTTCTTTTTACAGACCCTGTAACTGGGAAAAGGGACTGTGATACACATTGCTTGTGAATTCCCTGCTCTTCTCGAATTCTGAATTCAGAAAATCCACCATAGGCGAAGAATGGATTGATGCAATCAGCATTAGCTGGAAAACGTTTGCGCAATCTAGAAAAAATGTATCTTAGAGGTAGTATAAAGGGCCAACCCCTTCAGCTAGCAAATCCAATCAAATCCTAGACAAACCACATCGCTAAAAGAGCTTAAAGCTATCCCAAATATTGAGTGTTTCGGAGAATGGGCGTAATTCCAATAAAGATTATTTTAAAGGGGATAACATTGATGCAGACGATTAAATAATAAAATCCCCAAAAAACACACCTCGTATAGTATTTTCAGAGAGTTATAATAAAAAATACATTTTAATTTTTCTAATACCTACCTAGATATTTTTCTACGTAATCGCTAGGTTTGTCTGGTGCTATGTCCTCTATTTTTTTCCAATATGGATTTTTTGGAAAAATCATTTGGAGGTTTGCCAAGCATATTGTTCTACAAACGCTTGCTAATACTTCTATACATTCACTGGGGGTATCCTAAAATCGTGTATAAAGTATTATAAATATGTTATTTTCTAGCTTACAAGCTAAAAAGGCTTCTTGATGGTGGGTTTGACTTGACTTTAAATGTAAACTTTAGAAGACGAAGACCCTAGTCTTCGTGCTTTAGGATATGATAAAATTTTTATTACGATAAAATTTGGTAAAAGTCATTTTACTTACCTTCAATTTTTGCCCATTCACTACAACTTCAGAGACCAACTTGGCTCTCATCAAGGTACAAACTTCGACATGTACTCCCAACCCCCCTTTTTCAATTTGAATTGAGTGGTCAGTCATCCTTAACCCGTTTAACTGAGACAAACAATTCACAATATCACCGTGGGTTATGCCAAAAAACGAGTCGACATTCCAAGTGTTCGCCAACTTTTTCGTTTCGTTTGCAGCCCAGAGTCTAGTGGTATGAATGGAATGATCTAAAAAAGAAGTACCAATATACATTAGGGTGGTCCATCTTGATAGGAAGGAAAAAAAGTTGGATTTTTTAAGTCTCATCTCTTAAACTTTCTCTATATCGTATAAAAATTATATCCTATAAATTAGGTTCACCTAAAATAAAAATTGGTGTCGCCAATGGTAAAACTGGTCGATCCTTGGTCAATTAATTATTAATTGGAAAACCCGGCAATAATATTTGTTATTATAACGCGTACATATAAGGTTTTACGATTGTAAAAACCAAGTGTAAAACCGGTGTAAAGTGCGTGTAGCACCCTTAACTGGATTAAGCCTGTGAAAAAGTGAGTTAGTGAATACAACGATTAATCTTTTCTGGATTATCAACACTGTATCCAAAGCGTGCCAATAGTGGGCGGTCGAGGTCAAGGAATAACTTCAACCTGCCAAACCGGGTAAGTAAAATGACCTAAATTGCACGACCTTAACATTAATACCCAAATACTAAATCCTAACGCAAAGTTCGCAACCACAGCTAACAAAGAACTCCACCAGGTAAACAATAATTAGTCGCCAAAAGTACCCAATAGAAACAGCAAACCTAGCCAAAACAATAACTCATAAATATCGGCTCACAATAACCAATCCAGCCCCACTCATGAACATGGAGGACTCTGGATTGTACTTAGTTTTGGGTCAGTCTAATGTCCCCGAAACCCCAAAATGTTTTCCCTTCTTGTCCCGAACACCACTAGCCTAAATCGAGCGTATAGCCCGGTCAGGCGACAAAATTCCGGGAGGGATCTTAACTATCGTCCCTGTCATCCACGACCTTCTAAGGGAAAATTTTCCAGCTGGGGTGAAAATTCGTATCCATCAAACACAGGTAATGCTGTGCAGTTGCGAGATTCGTAGAAGAACTGGAAGGGGGTAAAAATAACTCTGGGAGATCAGTGTTGAGGCTGATGGGGCCAGCTATACGTACTTTATACTCAAACTCATAAAAAAATGATTCCGTAAAGCAAAAATAAGAATCTTTTCTAAATAAATTAGACAATTTATTTGATACAAAAACGAAGACAACAAGATTGTGATTTGTTATGGTTTGTTGGGAAAATTTTTTGATGATATAACTAAAATTAAATACTTAGTATAATGGAATAGAAAATAAAGAAACTATTTCAAAAAGTACCATACATGTTTTTAAAAGGCTTCGTTTTTTACAGACTTTCTTAGTTAATATTCAAAAACTTGGAAGAAAATTGACAAATTTAAACCAATTTAAATAACGTTAAAAAATGAGTAAAGTTGTTAAAGAAGAACTCTTGAGGAGTTAAGACTTATATTATAGTAAACGAGACCTCGCTCAAAACCATAATTTTACAACCCACAATAAACTACTACTACAATGCAAATAAACTATAATACATTGTATCTACAGTGAATTAAAGGCTACCTTACGGTCACGGAATTAATAAAGTGATAAGTGACAGCATACCTGGCGAACGAACCATCTGACAATCTGGCAAGTATTTTATGTGAAGAACAAATTAGGCTAACCAAGAGTGGAACGGGCCATCATCTGCAAAAATCGATAAGTACCTACTCTTAACTCTGACCGAATGACCTAATACGTAAATTTGCAACATTATCCACGTTAAGATACCTACACAACCCTAAGTGCTTAAACACAACCCTAGTAAAAACAAATTTATTTTACATTGTTTTTTACTAGGGTTGTGTTTAAGCACTTAGGGTTGTGTAGGTATCTTAACGTGGATAATGTTGCAAATTTACGTATTAGGTCATTCGGTCAGAGTTAAGAGTAGATCCACAGCAACATTAATAATAAGATAATATATAGTAACAAAACGATACAAAAAATAAAAACAAAACCAAACCGTCAATCTTATCGCTGGCATTCACGGGAATATAGCTGAGCAAGACAAATAAAATAACCAAGTAAGTCAGAAAATCAATAAACTTAAGAGAACGGATTCAATAAACAAAATTGTGTAAACTAAGCAAATTAGACATGGGAACTTATAGACCCTACCTTGAAAAAGCAATATAGTTCGATTAGATATATCTAATCGTTACGAAAACAACAGACAAACCAATGCGTACTTAACCGACTACGGCAAAAACGGCTTTTGGTAGGAGTGGAAACAATACTAGCCGCCTCGGACGTATTCAACGTCGCAAACGAAATACCATGAACAGGAGGAGACAGGATGGCTAACTATAGTTATAACAACTCCCCAAATTCAAATAGTAATCCCAAATGTTTGGAGTAATACTAATTTCCCGGTCTAGGGGGATCCCACGTCGTACACAGATTTGATTCGGCGTAATTGTGCCCTAAACACCAAAATGTCTCCCGTCCCCACCTCGTTTTGTTCCTGCTGGGCGTATAGCAACGGCCCGGCGAAACCGGAAGAGGCTATTCAAACTATTCGCATGTCGCTCTCGAGGCCCAAATATGGTACAGTACCGGACGCGATGGACTTTCACACCCAGCAAACACGGGTGAAGCCGTGCAGCTGCTTGTGGCGAAAAATATCAGCGTATATAGCGTAACGGACGCTTTTGCGAGGCAATATATCTCTTATATTCATACTCATGCTAATATGGAACTCTATAATAACCTAATCTGTGTAGCACCGGAATCTGCTCAACCAATGGTAGTTCGTCTAATGGCGCTCCAATTATCCAATCAGGAGTGCTCTCGCATTGATTGCACAGCATAACTAGATCTTGGAGAACATTTAGAAATAATTTGCCAGTTTCTGAGTTATTTGTGGACTTGGACGCTACTAACGCTAAGCGAAATTGTTGGTCCCAGGATGTGGATGTTACATGGACACCAAGAGCGTCTGCCAAAGTGGATAGAGCTGATAAGAGAACTCCTGGGATGTCGGCTGTAATGAAAAAAGTTTTTGAAATCCGAAAAATGTTTTACTGTGCTTCACCCGTTGGTAAAAATTGGTTGATCCACTCCCTCAAGTGCTGGCTGGAATGCGGAGGTCTAGTGGACATGGGGCAGTATGTCCACCACAAAATAACATGTTCCAAATAGTTACCAACTTCGCCCCACAAAATTTCCTCGTAATAATCCAAAACCTTATCTCTGGCTTTTTCGTTGATTTTCAGGTTTTCCTTGTTCCTCGATTTTTTCACGCCGTCGTGACCCAACATCAGTGGCGCCACCTTTAGGGTGGTTTCGAGTAGGTCAATTACGTTTTTTTCCTCGTATGTGATTAGTTCTTCTAGATTTTGGAAACTTTGGGTTTCGTCGAGGTTTGTGATTTTGTCTTTTTTTGGGTCTTTTTTCTCGATTTCGATGGGAGGGGACATATGTTTTGTCAAAGCTCTACAAGTATAAAATAATTTTTTAATCTAAATTTAACTTATTTAACTCCTTGAATCTTAAGTTAACTTACAAATAAATCTCTAAGCTGGAATTCTCTGAATTAGCTTCATCCTCGTGAGTATCGAACATCTTGTAAGTTTCCAACAAACAATCGATTAATTTATGGCAACAAAGTTCTGCTCTACTTTGAGCAATGATTTGCAACAATCTTGTCACAGAAATTTTTCTAATGGGAAACATTAAATAAGGACAAGTATTATTGCAAACACTCGTATTTTTTGTTAAATTAAATCTGCTGTCCATTTGTAGTAAAGCGTTATAGGAAGTTGAAATTCTAAAAATTTAATTTTATTTGAAACAGGAATAGGTACTTACTTATAATAAATAAAAATAAAAATGTTACTATAGGGGATCTTTAAAAATAATTACTTTAAAGTCAATACTAAAACATTTTCCCCATAGTAAATATAAAATGAAGCAATCTCAAGTAATAATTCTTGTATAAAAAAAGTTATCTTTAATTTAACTTTAGTCAACATATCCATCCACAATTTCATTTTATTTGAAACAATAGGCATATCAACAGTCAATTTAGGAAGTATATTATTAAATTGTTTTACTGTAAACCCCATTGTAGTACTTATATCCTCAATATCCTAAAAAAATATTCCCTTAATTAACTATTTTTTTATCTAGTGAGTCACTAGTAGTGACTATAAGTACCTGTATCTCCAACTCAAACTCCTTCAACACTATATATATATGCCTACTTTTCAGCTTCGTCAAAACTTTACACACTCTGTGAAGGAGGTTTAATCCTGTCGTTTGTAAATCTTTACAGCTCGCAAACAAATCGTTATAATTCATCAACTCTAAAGGCATCCATTTAGTAATATTTTGTATGCTTCTTGACATGACGAAGTGTTATCAATAAAATATTGCAAATATATTAGTTTTAAATAAGTTTTACGGTAATTTAAAAAAGAAAAATTAATAATTTTATAAATGTTACTGGAAATTGTTAAAAATCAAGTCACAATAAACAAAAGAACATTATTACTTGTGTTTGCTTGGTTGCTATGACAACGTAGATCAAATAAATCAACATTTTTACCTTAATTTGTTGTATTTTTGTGTTTGTTAAGTATATTTTAAATAATTGTTGCATATTCTTTGGTATAAATATATTGGATTTTATATAATTTAAAAAGGCATTTTTAAATTTTAAATGCCTTGGTTGGTCCTGCAGTACCAACCTAACAGTGTTGTCATCATAGAAAACCCAAAGTTTCTATGTCAAATCAATGTGTTTTTACATAATTTAACCTAAAATGACTGAAATGTAAGTGCTAATTTAGTGATATGTTTAGTTTGAATAACAAATCATCCAAAGAATTTTACCAAAAATCATTTATTAATAACTATCTTATCTTGTGAAGTTTGACATCATTCTAACCTCAAAAAATGACCTTTCAAAACGTAAAAATCACGGTTTTGTACGGTTCGCAAACTGGCAATTCACAAGATGTTGCCGAGAGAATCTGGCGCGAATGTAAACGCTTTTATTTTTCATGTTCTGTGAAATCTATGGATGAATATGATGTTTTAGAGCTGATTAATGAGACATGTGTGGTGTTTGTATGTGCTACAACTGGACAGGGAGAGGAACCTGACAACATGAAGAGTTTTTGGAGGTTTTTATTAAGGAAGAGTTTGCCACATGATTCACTAAGTGGCATAAGGTACAAAATTTCTATGAGCATACAAGTATATTACCGTTGAGTGAAGATTCCTTAGTCAATGATATTACCATAGATTAAGATTAACAATATTACAATGTTTTAGATATGGTGTGCTGGGTTTGGGGGACTCTAGCTATGCAAAATACAACTTTGTTGCTAAAAGATTACATAAAAGAATACTTCAGTTGGGTGGCAACCCAATTTTACCACTTGGGTTAGGTGACGATCAACATGATCTAGGTTATGATGCCACAGTAGATCCTTGGATTGAACAGTTATGGGAGAAATTGTTAATATCTTATCCTCTACCAAAAGATCTTAAACCATTGGACAAAAATTTAGCTATATTACCAAGGTAAGTTTAAAAAAAAATTGATATAATATTGTGTGTAATATACCTACATATAATAGAAGGTTTTTATATGTATATATTTTGTTTGTAGATGGAAGGTATCCTCTAAATTGTTAGATAATAATTTTTATGTAAATAAAACACAATCTATTTATTATTCAACAAGAAAAACTACTGATTTTAATCTTACAGTTTTAGAAAATTCAAGGTTAACTTCTGGAGATCATTTTCAAGTAAGCTATGAAGTTTTTTGCAAATATCTCACTATTTTATTATTGCATATGCTATTTTAGTATTTAGTAAGTAAATATTTTTAGGATGTACGCCTTCTTAAGTTCCAAACAACAGGCCAAAAATACATACCCGGAGATTTAGTGGTCTTAAGACCAAAAAACTTTCCCTGGAAAATTGAGGAATTTAGAAACGTTCTAGAATCAAATGGGGTAAAAATTCCCCCCAAAACTGTATTTAACTTATCTCAAAATGACCCTGACATGCCTCTACCTGAAGTGCTTAAGTATGAAGTTACATTTCAGCAACTATGTGAGGAATATTGGGATTTAATGGCAATCCCAAGAAGACATGTTTTTAATATCCTAGCACAAATAACTGACAGCGAACTAGAAAGAGAAAAATGCATTGAATTTACAACAGCAGAAGGCCAAAATGATTTATACTCGTACACCAACAGACCTAGAAGAAATATAGTTGAAGTCCTATCTGATTTTCCACATGCCACCAAAAACCTAACCAAAGAATTACTGTTCGAAATTCTTCCGCCGATAAAACCGCGTGAATTTTCCATAGCAAGCAGCTGTAAGGCGCACAAAAACGAAATACATGTACTACTTGCCATTGTGAGGTACAAAACTAAATTAATGAAAGAGAGGTTAGGTTTATGTTCGAATTATTTATCCAATTTGACTTCCGGGGATTCCATTACCGCTTGGCTGAAAGGTGGCAGCTTTAAATTCCCACAAAAACAGGTAAATGTCAGTTGGACGTTTAAAAGTGTGGTTATGTTAATTGACTAATAGAGGCTTCTGATTGGTGAATCAGCCGTCAAACTATGAAGCACTGTTGTCATGTTTATATTTCACTGAAAACATAATTTTAGGATGTTCCTGTAATTTTGGTGGGACCAGGCACAGGGGTGGCACCTTTTAGAAATTACATCCTAGAAAAAGTCAATGACAATGTTGTCACGCCAGAAAATATGATTTTAATTTTTGGTTGTAGAAACAAAAATAAAGATTTTCTTTGCAAAAACGATTTTGAGAAACTTGACAATGAAAAGAAAATCACTCTTATATGCGCTTTTTCCAGGGACCAAGACCACAAAATGTAAGTGCTAAAATATATTAAATATCAATATAGGTAGAACTTTCTTTTAGCTATGTCCAACATCAAATCCTAAACAACAGTGAAAAAATATTCAAAGCTTTAACCTCTGGAGGTTATGTTTTTGTGGCGGGAAACGCAAAACAAATGCCGCAATCAGTCAGACAGGCATTTGTTGACGTTTTGGTGAAACATGGAATGTCTGATGATGAGGCAACTAAATTTATAGAAACAATGGAGAAAACCAATAGATACCAAACCGAATGCTGGTCATGAAGTTTAGAATAGTAGAACAAATTTTATTTTTATTTATTTATAGGAAAATATGGTACTTTTTAAATAAATATTTATTATTTACAATTGTTTTTATTATCATAATACTAACACTAAGTTAGTGTCACTAACTCCCATTAAAAAATCTTTTTAATATACCTAGGTAAATTATCCGAAAATTATAAATCCTTGTGAAGATTAATTTAAAATATCTAGGTATAGTGAGCGTTCGCGCAGGAAAGTCACGGCCCTGCTCTGTCATGGCTTTTCCAATAGCCGTGTTTCTTTTCCACAAAGATCAAATTAAACGAATTGTGATTGTTCAGTCAAAAATTGATAATGCTTAAACAACTCCCACAACTCGGAATCTATTTGGCACGTTTTTGTTCCTGGCCAATGATAAAGTCGACTATCCTGTCATCATGTATTCTTGAATCCCATATAGAAGAATGATCTGGCAACAGCGCTTTTTATAATTTGCGCACAGGGGTATAAATTAAAAGTTTTTACGAAACTGAAGAATATTAGTTTTTTATGAATTTTAGGTTCAAAGTTTTTATATGAATTTAAAAAGCTTTTAATTTGCAGATTTTTTTTATTTTGTCATGTTTAATTATTTAATTTATTTTTTCAAGCTTTCTTGTAATTATGGTAATTTTATAAAATTGTTATAACATTAGAGTTGTAATAATTTTTAGGTTTTAATACAAACACGCAATAAGTACCTAATCCAGTTTTGTCGGCTATGTAACATTTTAAACTTAGTTTTTTGCGTACTTAATATATACCAATAGAAACTATTTATTATAAAATAATACCACGCCGTCCTAGCTTTATAAAGCTATAAGCTATAGCTTTATAAATCTGCAAAATAAAGTAATACCGAGGTAAAGAACAAACGCATGGGACCCACACCAAATTTTTTAGTGTTTATAATGACACTAAATTATCAAGTTCTGCGCAAATACAGGTTTGCGAAAAAAATATAGTTTTTGCTAAAGCTTTTAAATTTTTCTAAAATAATAAAAAATAAAATAAAATCTGTAATAATTAGATTATTTAAATAAATTTTGATAATTGTCAATAAACATGGTAAATTATAAATTGCACCACTAAAATTTGTATTATATTTATTAGGGGGGGCAGGCTGCAGAGGAGCTGCAAAACTATATATTTTTTGCAAACTTCCATCTTGCGCAGAACAATTGTTAATTTAGTGTCATTATAAACTCATATAAACTTGGTGTGGGTCTCATGTTTAATATATATAGGTATATGGCATATTATGCAAAATCCACCAGCCGCCACTGGGTCATTCCATGTTACTCGGGGATTTTTGTCCCGTCCGTCACAATTAAAAATTGTGAGTAAAAATTACACGTTATAAAATTTATTTTAAAATATTGTTTATTATGCTTCTAATTAGTTATAAGCACAATAAAAATAATATTAAAAAATATTAATTTAATAACTTGTGGCTTTTACTCACAATTTTTAATTGTGACGGGCGGGACAAAAATTACCGAGTAACGTGGAATGCCCCCACTGTTTTTAATAGTTACATACTTGTTATAAAATATTAATAATAAATAGTATTATTATAATATAATTTATTGTAGTTATATATAATTATATATATATATATATTTAATGTAGTTAACTATATATAATTATAATTAATAAATTAATATTATTATGCATGTTTATTAAATTAATTTAAATATTATTTAACAATTACATATACCTAATATTAAATTTAGTTTTTTAGTAGTAAAAAATATTAAAAAAACATGTTAAATTTATAAAATTAATCATAAAAATTCAGCACATTAAAAAATATATATATATATATCCCCCATATGTTTACATTTCTTCGCACTGTGCGACTCTCATCGGCCCACTGCTGCAATTTTCAGTGATGGCCGCAGTATGGCGTTCGACAGTCAGAGTCAGTGTTGTTAGTAGATTGTGACCACGTGTGATGTGATAGTGGTAAATTCAAATTATTTATTTACGCGCATTATTTAGAAGACCTCAACTAATATAATGTAAGTACCCCACAATACATCCTTACTTTCATTAAAGTCAATATTACTTAGTGGTCAACGACTCATGGGGCGTTCGTTTGCCTTTTTTTTACTAGGAATGCGTATTTTTCTTGGACTATGGTATTTTTAGTACAGCTAAACTATGTTTGTTTTATGGCAGATTTAATTTTATTAGGTTAATTTATTATGCATGCGGTAAATCAGGGATCCCGTGCGGTATTTTAATAAATATCGAGTTTTATGACGGTCTTTTTCGCGCTATAAATATTAATACAGGAAGGTAAACAAAATTATATCGTAAAATTTGAGTTTCCCTCCTAAATTGTGCACACATTTCCTCAGTTATTTACCCAATAAAATGCTATAGTTCATTTCATTTAAATTATTTAATTATTACATTTCAATTATTTACGCTTTTTTAATATTTTAATGTGGTAGTACATAAATAGTATATTATGCGACTAGTGGGAGAAAGAGGAAATATTTTATCCAAAATCTGACAGCTGTCAAGCAACTTTAACCTCACTTGTTTCCAATTTTAACGTTCAGCGAAATGCTATTTAACCGTTAACGAAGTAAAATTTCTCCGACCTGTTAAAGATAAGAAATTAAATGGGAGTTGAATAATTGTATATGTGCGACTAGTGGGAGACCAATAATCGCACACTATATTTTATTCAACAACCACAAGGAATTTAAAGCCAATTTTATTTGATATTTTATCTGACAAACGTCAATTAGTTTTAATCTCACTTTTTTGAAAAAAGTGAGGTTAAAAAAGTTTTTTCCAAATCTAACTTAAACCTAACTTCAGCCTGTGGGCGAAATCCTATTTCGCCCACAAGTTTAAAGTTAAGAAATGAAATATGTGTTGAATAAATTAAATTACTTGTGCATATTTTAACATCTTATAGGATCCAACGGGATTTTTTCGATTTAGGAAAAAAAATTAATAATTGAAGAAATAAAGCCTATAAAAATAAAATTTATAAATTGGACCAAAATCCAGCGGTTCTTAAAATATTTGAAAAAACAAAACCAATAAATCGTTATTCCTGGGAATTTTGAAAATAATGAGTTTTACATGTAAACATTTATTTATATTTTCATTCAATTTCTTCGCTACCATATTTTGAATTAACATATGTTATGGTGATATCACCATATTTTGTTTTTATAATGGCCGCCATAACTTATGCAGTTTGATAAATCGTTGTCGCGAAGACTAGAGACAGGAGTACAAACTTTCTATGTTTGATGCGTATTTTTAAGAGACAAAATACGTCGACAGAACAAATACAAACTGTGTTTGAAGTTAAATCGTCCATGGCGCACTGAGAAACTTTATCATTGCAGATGCTTTTTGCCTCGCCCCCTTTATATCGGTTTGTAATCCTAGTAGAACTCTTCGTTGTATTCTTTAATTTTTTTTTATCTATCCATGGAAAATATCAATATGGCGGCCATTGGAAAAACAAAAGATTGTGGTATTCAAAATCTAGTGAGCGAAAAAAATCACAAACCGGAAAAAAAAATGGATAAATGTGTATGTTTACAAACATATGAAACTTACTTTTTTCAAAATTCTCAGGACCAAGGAATTCGTTAAGTTATAACGATTTTTGGTTTTGACAGGTTTTCAGTTTTTTTCAAATTATTTGAGAACCACATATTTTTTCCAATTTTTAATGACGCACCTTTTCTCTAATATAACCGACCTTGTAGCTTTTCAAAAAAAAAAATATAGAAGACTACTTGGTGTATAAAAAAAATTACTTGTTTTTATCGTCTTTCCCCCCAAAAAAAGTGTGTCTCGGTACGGCCCTGGTTCCAGGCTGAACTTCTAGCATAGTACTTAATTATATTTTTACTAGTTTGGTTTGTCTTATTGCAGCCAATTATGGGTTTATTTACAACCAGACCAAAAAAAAAACGAAACATATTTATGCCATAAATACAGATTTATGACTCTCTTCCAGGAATAACAACCTTTTTGGTTATTCCTAGGTAAAATGTGCTGAAATTTATCCTGAATGCCAGGTATTTTTCTTATTAATTTGGACATTTTTAGACGCTTTACAAAAGTTTTCATAATATCGTTGTGCCTTGAATATTTCAAGCGTATTTTCTTTTATCTTTATTCTGTTCTTGTATTAAAATATTTTGAAATTTTAATTAAATTTTTGGTTTATCGTTTCCTGATTAATTAATGTTGCATTTTAATTATTCCAGAAATGTTCTATAAAATTATGTAGTTTTAAATTCATTTAAATAATTAAAGCGGTTGTAAAAACTAATTGTTTTTATTAACGCTTGTGCAAAACTTATATTTGTCAAAACATTCTATTTATAGATATTTTTAATAAAGAATATCAATATGATAAAAACGTTATATAATAATTTTTTATATTACTAATCTAATTTTTATCTAGGTATACAGAATAATTCTTTCTTAACACATCCCTATAAAAATCTGAACTTAAGTCTATTGGAATTTTTATGCACCTATAAGTACATAATTTATTAATATGGTTTTAAAATTTTGTGATTTTCCCAAACATTACAATTATCTTAAACTTTATTCTTAGTCCAGTGATTTTATTATTTTATAATTGTATAAAAGTAGGTATAATTTATTCTTAAAAAATTTAAAAAAACATAAAAGGCACGAGCAAAGCTTGCGAGCGAGTGTGTAATAAAAACGAGTATAATATATAATATTATAGTTCCTTTACGAGTTTATCTACGACTAACACAAATAATAATAATAATTTAAAGTCAACTTCATTTTTTAAACATTTAACATCTGACAAATGTCTGACGAATCTAACCTCACATTTTACCAATTTATAATAAAGCTAACTTGACTAAAAAGCCCAATACGATACAAACAACACATTATAAATAAATAAAACAAAGGAAAGCATATTTAAAATCAAACAAAAACTTCATAAAATTTATTTTATTTTCGCCTGTTAAATAAACGTCTGACGTATGCAGAAATAAGCAAAAAATGTGTGCCATCAGTTCCATTTAAAAGGATACGCTGCAGCGCTCGGAAAAATCCGCATTATACAAAAAAACAAACAAAACATTAGCTGGCCATACAGTGTACCGCGCGGTAAGGTGACCATCCGTCCTGGTTTACCCAGGACAGGTTCTGGTTTTTACTCATGTGTCCTGGTTTCAATTGTGTACTGGTTTTGTCCTGGTTTCGCAGATTCGGTCCTGGTTTGTACTCATTTTTTAATAAAAAAAAATTTTATGATTGAGCCATTATTTGCACATCTCTAATATCGTCGGATCGGAGTTGCAAGCATGCTTGTATCTAGAACGCACGGAACTCTACAGTTTTCTTTCTCTTTCCTGCTAAACGATCGTTAAAATACTCTGTCGCACTTTAATCTAGTGACTTTTTGTCGTGACCTCGCAATCTAGTTACTTTTATTTATTTTTAAATGATGGTGTAATAACATTGGTATTGATATATTATTATTCTATGGGTTATTTGTTGGTTAGGTATTATGTTTACCGGCGTTTTTGTGTTGTCTAGGAAATTCCTAGTAGAATTTACTAAGTAGATAATATATTAATACAATATATGGAATAAATACTAATAATTACTGGTATGTATTACTTTAATTGAATTTGATTTGCCTCTTTCAATTTTATTAATAATATTAATGGAAATAATAATCTTGTTAAGTTCAATATTGTAATTATTGTATATTTTTAGCAGCTGACTCCTAAACTAAATACCATGTCGGCCTCAAATCCAAAAAAAAAGAGGAGGCAATGCTCTTTTAACTCAGAACTACAACAAAAATTTCCATTTTTGAGAAAAATATCTGAAGACTGTGCCAGGGTCAAGTGCAATATATGCGGTTCGTCATTCTCTATTGCAAACAGTGGTATAAAGGATTTACAAGACCATATCAAGACAATAAAGCATAAATCATCAGTAGCCAGCACATCAGGATGCCAGCAAGTGGTAAATTATTATAAAAAAAAAACATTTACACATGATGAGGCAAAACTGGCTGCCTCAGAAGGTACTTGGGTCTACCACATCATAAAACATAATCAGAGTTTCAGATCTAATGATTGCACTTCTCGACTAATTCAAAAAATATTCAAGGCAAAATATTCATGTGCCAGAACAAAAAGTGAGGCCATAGTTTGTCAAGTTTTTGCACCCTTTGCAGAACAACTATTGAAAGAAGATTTGTCAAAAGCAAATTTTATTACGATATGCACTGATGCATCAAACCATAAACATATTAAACTGATGCCTATCATTGTTAGATATTTTCTACCAGAAGCAGGGGTTCAGTTAAAAATATTACAAGTAAAAGACTTACCGGGAGAAACTTCAGATATAATAAGTGACTACATATTGGAAACTGTGACCAATTTTAATTTAAATGATAAAGTTTTGGCCTTATGTACTGATAACACCAATAGCAATTTTGGTGGTGTTGCTCGAAATGGAGTAAATAATGTTTTTTACAAAGTTAAATGTAAATTAAACAATGCTTCGATTGTTGGTGTGGGTTGTATGGCCCACATAGTCAATAATTGTATCAAGACTGCTTGTGATACATTACCAGTAGACATTGAAGCTTTAATTGTAAAAATTTATAGCCATTTTTATATTTATACAGTTAGAGTAGAGAAACTGAAAGAGTTTTGTGAATTTGTTGGTACTGAGTACAAGAACATGTTAGGTTACAGCAATACACGATGGTTAGCATTACTTCCTGCACTTGAACGAGTTTTACAACAGTATGAAGCATTGAAGTCCTATTTTTTATCAATTGATAAGTGCCCAGTACTAATTAAAAACTATTTTAATAATCCTGAAACTGAAATCTGGTTATATTTTGCACATAATATAGCAGATTTATTTCACAAAACTATTTTAAAATTAGAAGGCGAAAAAACGTCCTTTATTGAAACCTGTAGAGTTTATAATGAACTCATTGAAAAATTAGAAAAAC